GTGTGTGTGTGTGTGTGTGTGTGTGTGTGTGTGTGTGTGTGTGTGTGTGTGTGTGTGTGTGTGTGTGTGTGTGTGTGTGTGTGTGTGTGTGTACCGGCCACGTCGAACTCGATCTCCAGTGTGAGCTGAGCAGTGATGGACGAGTCTCTGAGCAGCTGATTGGTTTCCTCCAGGGTGGAGTCTTCAGTAGGAACTCCATTTATGGACAGAATCCTGTCTCCAATCTGCAGGATGCCGCACCTACGACACAAACACATCAAACAAATGTAAACAACGACAAAACGAGAAAATAATAATAACAGATAAAAACACTCAACACATGTCGACACAAATATTTTAGAAAAATACATAAACATTTAAAAAGATGAAGCTGTAATATTATATCCATATATTATATACATGTGTTTTATCTATTATGAATATTGAGTGTGTGTTACCTCTCTGCGGGGCTGTCGGGGTCGATGTAAGCGATGAGCGGAGGCGAGGACAACGTTTCCGTGGCGAACACTCCGCCCTGCAGCTGCAGGCCGAAGCCCATGATGCCGTCGCCTATTAACGCCACCTCCGTGGTCTCCGTGTGGACGACCTGCCCAGCGAGCCCCACGGTGCTGGACGCAAGAGACACTGACGGAGACGGAGAAGAGGACGGGGTGATGAGGCTCTGAGTTCAACACCACGTCTACTTGAATTCACGACATGATTTTCGCCGTCAACGCATCACGACAAACTAAACGCTCGAGGTCAGAGGTCAGACTCACGCGAGCTCTTGAAGTCCTTCTTCTTGGCTTTCCTCCTCATCAACGTGCCCCGTGGACTCGTGGGATACATGTTCCGGGGCAGCGTGCTCATGTTGAGGGACGAGAGACTATAGGCTGACATGGAGCCAGGAGAGAACGAGTGGCTGAGAGCTACAGAGAGAGAGCGAGAGAGAGAGATGAGTGGAGGTCTCTTTCAAAATAAAACATCACATTCAAAGAGAGAGAGAGAGGTGGACGTACGAGGGTTGTTTGCATGGCGGTTGTGCGATCTGGTAGCTGATTGGTCGGGGTGGTACGTGTTGTAGTGGTAGGGGGGAAGGATGGGGGCGGAGTTTCCAGTTTCCCAGGGGAGGGGGCGGGGACTACGCTGCACCTTGACTACATGCACGCACAGAAACACACAGGGGGGGGGGGTGTTTAGGTTACAACACAAGGTAAGGTCAAAGGTTAGAGGTCACTGCTTTATAAAAGATTATATTTCATCAATGTAATCTTTCATAGACACAATAGGTGTGTGTGTGTGTTTATACCGTGCTGTGGTGCGTTCAGGGCCCACAGTGTCCAGTGTGTGTGT